TGACCAGGTGAGCTCAGGGAGAAGATGGGACTGTGGCTTCCTTCTCTTGTCTATTTGTGCTTTCAGGTAGGAGCATATGATGAAGGAACATATAATGAAGAGATAAGTCCCTAGCTTACTCAGTTTCACCCACCCAGGCCATGTTTTATGCCGTGACACCCCTGTCCTGGTGTCCCCATTTGGTGGCAGTATGCCCCATTCCTGAAGCAGGCCTGGATGTGACCCAACCTTGTCAGGACTGTGGAGCACTCCAGGAGAACTGGGTGTGTCTGTCTTGCTATGAGGTATGCAACAGAGGAAGGGGATGGGTTGGAGGTTGGCCCAGGAACAAACCACAGGTGAGTGCTGATCCCTGCCCAACACTCACTCCCTAACCTAGGTCTACTGCAGTCGTTACATCAGTGCCCATATGCTCCAGCACCATGAAGGCTCGGGACACCCGCTGGTCCTCAGCTATGTCGACCTTTCTACCTGGTGTTATCAGTGTCAGGCCTATGTCCACCACCAGGTGGGTCCTGGGCAGACCTTCTAACACATGTACACTCCCTCCCTCCACATGCATACCTTCTGTGATTGGCTAAGGAGAAAATGGAGGCCCTTCTGCATGTGGAATAGTCCAGGAGACAGGGTGGTTGAGAACCCAAATGGGGGCAGCCTCCTGGCTGAGGTAGAGGGGGTCCTCACTCTCTCTTACCTGCCCTCTCTTGCCTCCTCCTCAGGCTCTCCTAGATGTGAAGAACGTTGCCCACCAGAACAAGTTTGGGGAGGATATGCCCCACTCACACTAACTCACAGGACGTGCTCCTCTTCACCTTCTGAGACTCAAGATAGACCAGCCTTAGCTCACTCCAGCCTGTTCCTTGGATGAAGGACAGCCTCTATCCCATCCTGAAAACCCTTTACACCTCCCCAAGGGTGCTGATTTAATTGTAAATACCTGTAAGAGGACTGTGATGACGAATTGTAGATCTGCCCCTGCCCCTGCCCACTCCTGGGACTCCATTTAATCTGCCCCAGAAGGAAAGGGGGGGCAAAGGGGGAGCAGCTCAGTGTCCCTAAGGGGACTGATATCAAGAAAATACTTTCAAGAAAGGGGGGATCAACTGACAGATATAGCAGGGCTGCATATGTAATAAAGTACAAGCTGTTACAAAACCTGGACAAAGTCTTTTAATTTTGAGTGGATAGAGAACCCCACACTCCTGGCCAACAGGGCTGGTGAGTAATGAAGGATGACGGCATGGGTCTTAATCAGCTCAACCCCCTGTCCAGCCAGTACCCAAAAAACTAACTGGAAATAGAGCAAGCAGCTTGACTGGTTCCATAATAGATTAAATGGTGGAATCTGTGAGAAAATGAGGGCCTGCCTTAGAAATGGGAGCTTCACAGCCAGTCCCAGCTACACCCTGGGCTGAGAAGGGAAGAAAACTATCAGGAAGTGTCCTCACCAGGCTTGTCTCCCCAGGTGTCTTTTTGTCCTGATGGTGGGGAGTGTCCAGATTTAACATATTTAGATTTGGTGGTCATCGGTAGCCTCCTGGAGGAAGTAGTACCTACCATTGACCAGAGGTGGGGAATTGGAGGATAATTTGGGGGTTTTATTTCTCCCACATAATGAGAATTAATTTGGCAACTCAAAGGAGTCCATGGCTGAGGTTTCCTGGACTTTTCTTCATGGCTTTGTTATGAGCTGAAGATGACCACTAGAGCGCCACCCAGTCAAGAAGGAGAATAGGGAAGGGAAAGGGAGCTGTGGCCAGCTCAGTCCATCCTCCTTTTAAGGTGCATTTTGGATGCCACGCACAGTAACCCATGCTTACATCTCATTGGTCACAACTGTCACGTGCATAGCTGCAAGGGAGTCTGGGAAATGTTTTAGCCTTGACATATGTCTGCCTCAAACCAGGTTCTTTCTGCCCTGACAGAAAAACCGCTCCTCCAGAACTCTTTACCTCCAGGAACGGACACAACCCTCTCCCGCAACGGACACAACCCTCTCTGGCACCTCTTTCCCTCAAGGCACAGACACAATTCGCTCCCAAGCTACCAAAAAGCCTGCTTGGGGCAGCACAGGCTCCATGGCCTCAAAAAGGCCCTCCCAAATTATTTCCCAAAGTCTGGCCACTCAGGTAAAAAATCCGCCACACAGTAAAAACCCGAAACCGCAGCCAAGATGGAGGCAAGGTAAGGGCGAAGTGCAGCAGGACGCCGCCAAGTTTGGCCACCAGCAGCGCACCCCAAGCGGACTTGATTGGTGCACACCTGCAGGCGGGGTCAGGACCCGAGCTCAACCCTGGGCGGGGTAATGAGGGGAGGGGTTTCATCTGTGGAGGGGCCTGAGGGCGGGCCCATGCGCATGCGTACCCCTGGCTCCCGCCCCCGCGCTAGGGCCGGTGGAGCATCGCCTTCCCTGTCAGTCCTGTCAGAGCTGCGGAGAGTTCGTGTCCCAGCGCAACCTCCTCTCGCCGGACTAAGGTGAGCCAACCGGCTGGGCCCCCAGCCCGGACCTGACCTAGGAGGGCTTTCTACCTAGAGTTTTGGGGATGCGACCGAGGTGCAGTTTGTGGGGGCCGCTTCCCCTTCCACCATCCTTCCTCAGGGGCCAGCCACCCCCCCCCAGCCCCTCTGGCGGCTGGCTTTGTGGAGGCTGAGCTGGGCCCGGCCGCGCCGGGCGGGAAGCGGGGCTGCGGCCCGAGCCTCGGGGTGGGGGCGTCTCTTCCCCCTGTCCCGCCCCGTCCCCACTAAAGAAAAACTGGCCAATATGGTCCAGACTGAGTACACGGTCTGGGTTTTTGGGTGAAACTTGGGGGTTACCTCTCCCCGCCCCAAGCTTTCCACCACACCTGGCTTAGTCACGGGAAGTGTAACCTGACGAGGTTGTCCGGAGCTAAGCCCTGAAAGGGGAGTCGTAAGGGCTCACATTGGGGTGGTCCCTCCACCCCCCACTCTCCCTGAATCTGTGCCCCCCCACCTCACCCCCAGGTCAATTAGGCGAACACAAAGGACACACAAAGGATGTGGTCCAGGCCGCGGGGATGGGGGTGGGGTTGCGGTGGGGTGGGGGAGGGAGGTCACAGGGTCTCAAGGACCCTATAATAACACTCCAATAGCACTTTCCACAGCAAGTGTTTCTACATTACTTGCGAAGGGTGAGACCTCTCGTCTGTTGATCTCTGATGGGCTGTGGGACCTCAGGCCAGTCACCAACCCCTCACATTTCTGAGCCTCGCTGCTCCTCATTGATAGAGGCCACAGTGGTGATAGCCCAAGCCTCACCAGGGTGTCAGGAGGACTGAGTGCGGGAATGGCAAGCAGGTCCCTGGCGCGAGCTAGGCTCTCAGTAAATAATACCTACTGCTTTTAGGATCATAGTCACAGTCATAGCGACCTTGGCCAAGAGGGAAGAGCCATCCCACCTGTACCCACCCTTAAATAATGGCACCCTCAGGTTTCCACCTGCCCAGACCCAAAACTTAGGCGTCATCTTTGACCCCTTCTCCTGCCTCTTAATCTCTCAACAAATCCCACCCAATTTATTCCACCTTTAGTGTGTAGCAAAATTCGACCTCGCCTCTTCACATCCACTGCCGCCTCCAGCCTGGACTACTGCGGTGGTCTCCTCACTGCTTCTGCTCTCAACCCCTCCTCTCAGCCTGTCCTCACAGCTAGATCTTCTCCCTTTTTCTGCCCCCCAACGTTTGGGGGCCCCCGAACTCTGTGTCCTGTTTACATCTTTCCTCATCACGGCCCCCTTCTTTCTTTGCAACCACATCCAATAACTATTTTCAAGGATCTCTCAGGGCTGAAGACCTCACAGCTGGATCCCCATCTGGGACCTTGCTCCCCCACCCTGACCTCCAGCTCCCAAACTCAGCACAAACCCCCATCTACTCCCAAACTGCCATTGCCCCAGGGTTTCCGGAGAGACTGGTAGCAGCCATTAAGATGCTGCATATCCTGAGGCCACACACTGAACTGAGTCCAGGATGTGTATTGAATGAGTTACCAGGTTATTTGCTATTAATAGCTAGCACTAATTGAGCGCCTGCGGTGTGCCCATCCTCTCCTAATTGCATGGTAATTTACTTGCTTATCTTGTTTTTTGTCTCTTCCGAGCTTTCTGAATCTAATCCTCCCAAGGCCAGGGACTTCTTTTTGTCACTGCCAGATCCCCACCCCCATCTCTGCACCCATCACAATGCCTGGCATGCAGGAAGCTTCTCAAAGTAATGAAATAAAATTAAATTATAATGGAAATGCTGGCATTAGCCAAGCTCCTTTTGTATGCTTATCACCTGTTGCTGAAATATGGGTTGTCTGCCTTCCTGACCAGATGGTCACATTTTTGAGGGCCAAGGTTTGTTTTCTATTTTCCTCCACCTTGCCACACAGTAAGTTCCCAGTAGCAGTATGCTGAATAAGTAATACACACTGAATTCTATATAACGGCTAACATACTTCATAGTTTGCTTATTTATTTGGTTTATTGTCATCACCTTTTAGAACCTTGCCCTGGGGGCAAGACTATTGCTTATCACATACTGTATCATAGGCATTGTGCTGGGCTGCGGCTCAACGGCTCAAAATTCAAAATCAAAACCAACAAAATCCCTGCCTTCCCTCTGGAATGGGGCAGGGCTGCTAATGGGCAGGGGGTTCCTTTCTGGGGTGGTGAAAATGTTCTAAAATTAGATTGTGGTGGTGGTTGCATAAGTCTGTGAATATACTAAAATTCGTTGTACACTTTAGCTAGGTTAACTTTATGGTATATAAATTATATCTCAAAGCTGATTTAAAAATCCCTGCCTTCAAAGAGTTTATGTCATAGAAGGGAAAGAGAGAGAATAAACAACATATATAATGTATATAGCATATTAGAAGGTGACTAGGACACACTAGGCACTCAATAACTTGATTCAATGACACTAGCTACCCCCTTGCCCCTGAATGATCTCCTCTCCTAACTTAACGCTTACAATCCCCAACCTCTCACTCCCCCCCCCCCCCCCCCCCCGCACGCTGTTGTCTTTCTTTTCCCAGTTGCAAGGCCTGCTGTCCACATCTCTTTCCTGAGCATGGTGCCAACAAAGCCTAACACGCTTGATCTGGGCCTGGGATCATGGAGCCCTAGCACCCAGGAGGAGAGCGACAGAGCTCAGGAACCCTCCATGCATGTTAGGAAGAAGCTGCCGGAGTACAAGGCAGTGGTGGTGGGTGCGAGCGGCGTGGGCAAGAGTGCGCTGACCATCCAGCTGAACCATGATTGCTTCGTGGAAGACCATGATCCCACAATCCAGGATTCCTACTGGAAGGAGGTGGCCCTGGGCAACGAGGGCTGCATTCTGAATGTGCTGGACACGGCAGGGCCAGGTGCTCATAAGGCCCTGCGTGACCAGTGCTTGGCTGCTGGGGATGGTGTGCTGTGTGTCTTCTCCCTCGACGACCCCTCCTCTCTAACCCAGCTGCAGCAGATGCGGGCTACCTGGGGCCCTCACTACACCCGGCCCCTTGTCCTGGTGGGCAACAAGTGCGACCTTGTGGCTGGTGCGGGAGATATTCATGCTGCTGCAATAGACCTCGCGAAGAGCTGGGGGGCCCCCTTCGTGGAGACCTCAGCAAAGACACGGCAAGGTGTAGTGGAGGCCTTTTCCCTGCTCATCCTTGAAATACAAAGGGCCCAGGAGGCAGAGGAGGCCGCGGCAAAAAAGGCCCGGCACCGTAAGGCCATGTGCCGTTGTGGCTGTACCGTGGCCTGAAAGTCTTGGTCAAGAAAAGTGGGCCCACCCCGAGGTCTGGGTGATGGTTCCTTCGAATGAGACCCCTAAGCAACTAGCTATGTGGGACACTGGGTGTACTAGAGATAGATGGACCCCTCTTCTGGGAGGTTTTTGTTTGGTGATGGGCTTTTTGATAATGTGAGGCATACTACTTACTGTTGATTATGTTCTGTCAAGTTGAGAGATTTTGTGCAAAATTAAATAGTGTTCTTAGGTTTCAAAGCTGCCTCCATGCTAAGTGTTTGTTATGTGGGTAGAAGTGAGACTGGGGAGAACATTACTTGAATGGTGAGAATCCTTTCATTCATGAAATGTCAGGGAGCCTGCTGTTTGCCAGGCCCTGCTTTGGGTGCAAAAGATGTAGAGACAAACAAGACACTTTAAAAAAAAATCTCTGCTCTTGTACATATGACATAAGGTGATCCTTTCACGGCAGGTGAAGGGATAAAGTGTAACTACCGGTCAAGGAAACCCTTCTTGAGTAAGTGACATTTGAGTGAAAACTTGTCAGATGACTAGGAGCAGAGGGAATAACCAATGCAAAAGCCATAACCACAAACGGTCTACCAAGAGGCCAACTCCCAATATCTTCGGGGCTGGGCAAGAATACAGATAACAGTAGCCTCTATACTATATAAATATTTAAACATTACAAATCAAGCTAACAAATGTAAACAACATACATTCTAGCCTCCTACCTTGACAAATACCACATTCTTTACGAATTTTTAGTAGCTTCAGAGTTTCATGCCAGGATGTGAGTGCGTTGGGAGGGTTGAGCCCTAGCTTGCAACCTGCTCCCTTCCGTTTCCACCGGTAGCCCCTTCCCACAGGAGGAGCTCAGGTGCACTGGGACATGCCAGCCAGCGTGGCTCTGGCTCTACTTACTCTGCCTCACAATAGCCACCCCTTGGTCCTCAGAAGGATGTACCATCAAAGACGCTGCTGCCAGCCCTGAAAGTGGCCCCACAGCCTTCTGGGCTCCCCATACCGAAATAGGGCACTGGGTAGGCAGTGCCACTGAGGCACAGACTAAGGGGGTGTCTCTAAAGTGCCTGACCGAGGTCAGGGGCCGCTCTTCCGGTCTAAGGGCCAGCACCACCACCGAGCCCTCCAGCCCCCTAGAAACTGCCACTCACACAAACAAGCACATAGCTGCTTCAGATCGTATTTATTGTGGGGATATTGGGGCTCCAGGGCAGGAACTGCAGCTGGCGGGGACGTGCCGGCGGGGAGCAGTTGGGGTGTCCGGGGAGGAGCAGCCCTGGGCCCGCGGGCGCGCAGGATCCACGCAGTGCTCAGGGCGGCAAGAGGCGGCGCGCCGGGGGCGCAGGAGTCTCCAGGCGCTTCACGCGCAGCAGGGCTCCCAAAACGCCCTCGGGGGGCATGTCAGACCCCAGATCCTGATCAGCCGCGCGGCGGAGGCGGCGCGGGGCAGCCATAGCCTCGGGGTCCCCGTTTCCTGGGAGGATCCGCCCCAACAAGTACCTGCAGGGGAGCAGAGAGGATGCAGTGAGGATGTGTTGGCGTGTCATCGCCCGGGCCTTAGGACCCTGACGGCCCTGCAACCCCATACTGCATGGGGACCCACCGCCTCCAGTCTCCTCTCCACCCCGGTGTCCCCAGCCCACCGCTTCCCCGAGACAAAGCCCCCGCCTCCCGCCCCAGGCCCGAGAGTGCCCGTACCCTAGACACCCCAGCCAAGCACCTCTGACCCCACACTTCCGCCTAGAGTCCCAGGACCCAGGTATTCGCACCTCCACCCAGGATGCAGGCGCCTGCTTCCCGCCCACCCCGTGCCGGCTACCTCAGCAGCTCGGGATCCACGTCTGGTGTGTCGTCGCCGTTGTCCTCGGCCTCGGGGCCCGCGGGGCCGTCATCGTAGATTGGGGGCCGGGGTCGGAGAGCGGCGGCGGGGGCAGGGACGGGGACCAGCTGGGCTGTGAGGGCGGAAGGGTCGAGGCGGGAGCGGAGCAGGACACGGGCCAGCTGTGCGGCTGGCCCATCAGGATCGTCCTCCAGGCCCAGAGCCGGATCGGTAGTGCGGGGAGCGCCCCAGGTGCGCAGCAGCTGCGCCAGGGCCCGCGCCTGCTGGTCCTCGGCCTCCTGTGCCTCGGCACGCGCACGCTCCTGCCGTTCGGCCTCCAGCAGGTGCGCCAGCGCCCGCGCCAGCTCCTGCACGGCCCCCGCAGTCTCCCCTCTGGCCACTGCCCTCCGGAAGCGGCGGGGAGCACCAGCCTCGCCCAAGGGCGGCAAGGCTGCACCCAGGCCGCGGGGCTCCTGCGGGGAAGATGAAGTGGCGGGAAAGATGTCAGCGTCCCTCAGGCCAGGGACCCCCCGGTCTCCATGGACCTCAAACATCCCTAGATAACACCAAAGGCATTATGGCCCCTCAAACTTCATACACCCCTAAAGCCACTGAAGACCCCCAAATATCTCCAGACAAACTTAAGACCACAAAAGACCCCCAAAGGTCCACCCCCCTCCCTCACAAACACACACACACACAAAGATTTCCTAATGACTCAGAACTTGCCCCAGGGCTGTTGGAGACCAGGTTTCTTTATATTAGTGGCAATGGTAGATATGACAGCTATAGATTTCTCTGTATTAATGCTGTGGACAATAGGAACCTATATTTGCATTTTATAGGTTCCTATTGTCTACTTGTTTTACCCAAAAGGTAGCAGACCATTCGGCACCTTGCTTTTTGGAATCTATATCTACATCAGTTCATTAAAAGCATCCTTTCTCTCTTCTCTTCTCCTCTCCTCTCCCCTCTCCCTTCTTCTCCTTCTTCTCCTTCTCCTCCTCCCTCCCTCGCTCTCTCGCTCTCACCTCTCCTTTCTTATGCATTGAATGCCTTTTGTGTAGATGTACAATAGTTTATTTAACCAGTCCTTAATTGATGAACATTTCATGAAAATTACAGCAACACTATTTGTAATAGTATAAAAGTGGAGGGAGGAAAAAAGAAAAGACAGCCAGGAAACAACCCAACTGTCTACTGACATATTGAGAATGCATCAATAAACCATGATATACTCATAGGATAAAATACTATGCAGCATTAAAAAATGAATTATAGCCACACACTTCATTCATTGTGGAGGAAACTCACAACCAATGTAGAGGTAAAAAAAAAAAAAAAGCAGGTTGCCAAATTCCACTGCAGGCTGCCTGAGACTGACACCTGATGACTTCCTAGTGACCCCTAGTGTCGACCAGAGGCCAGACACCCAGTATGGTTGCATTTCTATGAGGAAAAACTAAATAAAATATTATTTATTGTATATGTCGTAAGCTACAAACAAAAATAAAGGATTAAATGAACAGAAAATACAGGATAGTGATTATGGAGGAGAGTGGCTTCTGTGGGGAGAGGCACCCAGGGGCTTCTATTTGTCATGCTCTATTTCTTAAACTGAGTGGTAGGCACACACGGAGGTTATTTTATCATCGTTCCTTACATTGTACATATATGTTAAATATATTATGTCACATATATAAAATATTTAATAATTTTTTAAATCCTTCAGCTCTGAAGAGTTAGCAGAGAATGTGCTCCAAGTGCTCTTGGCATCCACCACCCCAGAGCCCCCAGGGAATCACACACTCACCAGCAATCACAGCCTCACACACACTGACATGGCCTGACAGGCCTTGAGATGTCACATATGCAACCCAACACTGCCACATCCACATGCAAGGAACTGCACAAATTCACACACATGGCTGCTCATGCAGTTATAATCGCCAAGCTACCCAGATGCAAGGTCACACAGCACCCTTAAAGACACAAAGCAACGCAGACATCATGGCTCCTCTCCCCACAATGACACAGCTCTACAAAGAAGTAGGGAGAAACAGCCTCATGAACACACATATAAAATCCTAGTCACTCAGTCCAACAGAACCAAAATGGGATGTGCACACGGGGATGCAAAGACTACTCCCTCCAAATCACAAACGAAATCACACACACACACACACACACACACACACACACACACACACACACGGACACGGACACGCCCATGGGTCACGCCATCACCATAGGATTCAAATATACACACGGTGTCACTGAGAAAAAAACACACAGAAGCACCCCCAGCATCACACACACAGCACAGCCGGAGCCACAACGTCACCTCTGTATGGACTCTCATAAGCGCTCACATCAAAGGACACACACAAGGACATCACACCCTCACTCCCCAGCCCCTCCCCCCGTCATCACATCACGAGCGCTCGCACACACAGATGTGCGCAGCCCCTTCCTTAATACACTCTAGTCCCATGGACAGCGCCACCGGCGCCGGACAGGGTGGAATGGGCAGGGCGTGGCTGCTGGCAAAGAAAGCCCAGGACACCAACACCCTCACACCCAGGGACCCAGCCCGGCCCCGGGGGCACAGGCATGGCCTAGGCGCGGACTGGCGGTTGGACCACGGGCCACCTCGGCCTATGTCTCCCCATGTCTCGGGAGCTAGGGCCAGGGAGGGTAAGGTAGCATCCTCCCCCCGCCCCGCCCCGTGCCCGACCGGGATCGCACCTTTACTGGCCGTGCGCAGAGCGCAGGAGGTGGCCGAAGTATACCCAACAGCAGGAGCACCAGAAGGCCGACGCCCCCGGCCCGCGGCCCGCGGAGCAGCGGCGACCCCGCCATGCTGCCCCAGCGAGCCGGGCTCCGGACGGGCGAACTGGCTGGCAAATGCGCAGCGCTGGGTCTAAGCGGGCCAGGTTGCGGTGCTCTGCGGCTGCGCATGCCGGGGCTCCCTGCACCCCCTCTCCCGCCACCCTCCCCCCGCCACCCACTCGCGCTACTTGACGCAGGCGCAGCCTGAGAGCTTTTGCAGCCCCTCCATCCCGCCGGTTGCTATGGAGATGCCTAAGGGGCAAAGTGGAGAGCTGAAGACTGATGGCGGTTGCCGTGGCAGTTGCCAGGGCAACAGACCTTTCTGTCTCCTTAGCAGAGAGGAAATTTAGCTCAGTGAGTGGAACGGGGGTCTGGTCCCCACCTCGCCCTCCTTGGGGAGGAGATATACGACCTTGTTCGTTGGCTAAACAGTTACGGATCGCCTACTATGGACCAGACACTTTACAGAGTCATGGGTTCAATCTGGGTGATGTGACCATGGACAGGTCAGTTCACCATTTTAAGGCTCAGCCCCTCACCTGCATAAAGGGGTTACTAGTAACCTTCCCTCAGAATGACTTTGAAGGTTTAATAAGAATGACATTCAGTAAGAGCTCAATAAAGGCTCCTTTCCATCCTGTCCTTGTCTCTTTGCTAGTATCTTCATCTCTCCATGGCTCTCCGTGTTTCTATTTCTTTCCTTCTGTGTCCTTAACTGTCTCTGTCTTCCTCTCCCATCTGTCTCTCTCTGCCTCCAACTCTTTTTCTCCCTTTATCTCAACAACCCTCCTCCTGTCTGTCTTATTTCACTATCTGTATCTACTTGTTTTTCCATAAATACATAGATAGGTTTTACCCATATAGTGTTCCAGGAAGGCTTTCAAGCCACTTAAAATGACAGACACATCAAAGGAAACAAAACTTTGGTAAAATTTGTGGATCCATAGAGGAGAAAATGTTGGGAAGGAAATGTTAGTGGTTATGTACGGGTGGGTAGATAACTAATGATTTGTCACTTTCTCCTTTTCACTTTTCTCTGTTGTCTGAAAAAAAATGTTGTAATGAGTATGTATTACTGTTATAATCAGATAAAAAGTAAAGATATTTTCATTTTGGAATTAAAATGAAGTATGGTAACATGACATTAATTAAGTAAAGAAAGATATTTATATTGCTGTAAGTATATCTAATCCATTGATTCTAACTGCCTCCATCTCCTCAGTATTACAAACAACTTTACAATGAAAATCCTTATATGCATCTCCTTATGGACCTGAAGATTATATACCCAAGGATGGTGTAATGGACACATGCTTAAGGCAGCTCCCATGATCCTTGCCTCCTGATGTTCACATCCTTGTGTAATCTTCTCCCTTTAAGTATGTGCATGACCAAATGTGACCAGATGTATGTGATTACATGTATGTAATTATGTTAAGAATGAGTTTGAGACAACCATCTTGTCATTTCAGGGGAAGAGACTCCCACTCCTGTTGCTGGCTTGATGAAGTAAGTGGCCTCTTTGGGGAACCTCATGAGGCAAGGAACAGAGGGTGGCCTCTAGAGGCCTAGGTTGGCCACCAGGGAACAGCCAGCATGAAATTGAAGCCCTCAGTCCTACAACCACAAGAAACTGAATTCTGCCCACAACCTGACCTTGGAAGCTGATCCTCCCCCAGTCAAGCCTCAGATGAGACTGAAGCCCCAATCAACACCTTCATTTCAGCTTCATGAGACCTCTAAGCAGAGAATCCAGTTAAGCCATGCCCTGACTCCTGACCCACAAAAACTGTGGGACAATGTTGTTTTATGTATGTTGTTTTAAGCTGAGCAATTTGTGGTAATATTGTTACACTGTAATAGAAAACAAGTATAAATGGGATAAATAAAACCTCTATAGAGAAAATTTTAAAACTTCATTAAAAGGTATAAAAGAAGATCTGAATAAATGAAGACACATCTTATACTCTTGGATAAGACAATCTCCTATTATAAAGATTTTGGGCCGGCCGAGTGGCGTGTTGGTTAAGAGCTGGCTTGGGATGCCAGAGGGCCCCGGTTCGGATCCCACATATGAGGGCCAGTGATACTGCCATCTACAGCTAAGATGCTGAACAACAGCTCGACCTGGAGCTGGGCTGCCATGAGTTGCCGGTGACGGCGTGGGCTGCAGTCCCCTGCTGCAGTGGGTTGCCATGGGCTACCGTATGTAGCCAGCAGCCAGCGTGAGCGGCCAACAGCCGCCGTGAGCAGCTGTCCAGAAGCTGGCGACTGATCTGCCTCGCCCGGGAAAAGTGCAGTGATGGTGCCAACTTGGGCCAGTGAAGCAACGTCCTCCACAACTAGACTGAAGAACAAAACAACAGCAACTTGTCTGTTCCCCTTCCCCGATTCCCCAATAAAATCTTTAAAAAAAACAAAAGATTTCAATGATCTCCAAATTCATATATAATTTCAATATAATCTCAATTTAAATCCCAGATGACTATTTTAAGGAAAATCAATAAAACTTATTTTTAAATGTTATAGAAGCAGCATTTTTCATAATAGCCATACAGTAGAAAAACCCAAATGTACATCAACTGATGAATGGATAGACAAAATGAGGCATATATTCATACAATAGAATATTACTCACCTATAAAAAGAAATGAAGTACTGATACATGCTGCAATATGGATGAAACTTGAAAATATGTTAAGGAAAGATGCCAGACACACAACAAAATACATAGTGCATAATTCCATTTATGTGAAATGTACAGAATAGGCAAATCCATAGAGATAGAAAGTTGATTAGTGATTGCCAGGGGTTGGGGAGAAAAGGGGAGTGGAATGGGGACTGACTATTAATAGGCACAGGGTTTCTTTTTGAGGTGATGAAAATGTTCTGGTTAGATAGTGCTAGTGGTTGCACAACTTAGTGAACATACTAAAAACCATTGAACTGTACACTTTAAAATGGTGAACTTTATGGTATATGAATTATATCTCAATAAACAAATAAATACCTATATAAAAGAATAAAAGTTTGTGAATAGATAAATCAATTCTGAAAGGGGGGAGTAAAGAAGATGGAAGAGGCATGTGTTGCTTCAGGCTGGAGCATTTGCCAGTGTGAGATCCTCCAGAGCTCTCTGTCCCTCTAATTTCTTTAAATAGTGTTTATTTACTGTTACTCCCAAAGTCATATCTCTAGCCTGGGCCTATCCAGATTCAAAATCCAACTGCCTCCTCAACATTCCCTTTGGCTGTTTAATAGGCATCTCAGTTAACTTCCCCAAAATTGAACTATTGATTGACTGCCTCCAAGGCCTGTTCCTCCACCACACACACACACACACACACACACACACACACACACACACACACACACTACTTCTCTCTCGGGATCTCCTATCTCAATAAATGG